AATTAACCTTCTCGGCCAGAATCCAGGCCAGAATCTTCTAAGTTATTTCAATGTGAAGATCATCAAGCACATGTCCTACATATCAGCTTCAGAAGGGATAGTATAAAGGCTGAATCAGTGACGTTCAGATGAGGTGCACTAAGGAAACTGAGTTTGTAATACTGCCTGCTGCATTGCTGAGCCTCAAGCCATCTGAATTTAGTTTGCTAGCTTTTAAACTGCTACAAGCCTGAGCAATCTGAAATGTAAGATAGCATGCTTACTTTTTCCTTTGGCTTTTCCTTCAATGTCTGAGATTTAAACAAACTCCATAATGTCTGAAAGATCTCTATAGTAAAACAGATCCTTCAGTAACTACCAAGGAGGTCAAGACAACCAGCTAAGACATAAATGGCTTAATTTTGTCAGGTAATGTTAAAGAAACATCCTACCACAGCATGTCCATTTAGTCCCATGTCAAGCCACAAGCCTCAAGTGAAATATTACCTTGGCTTAGCAGTGGAGTAAATGATCACAAGGGGTCGTGTCCTGTGGGCTACAATTCTGCTCTTTATTAGAAAAGTTCATTATGTTTTCTCTTCTCATGCTACAGCTACTGATGAAAGCATCCAGGTGGGTGCTCACCGACAGTTCCTAAAGCGCTCAACGTGCAAGCTAAACATGGTCATTGGCAAACGGTACCTCATCATGGGGAAAGATGGGCAAACAGTTGATTGTCACCACAAGTAAGTGCAATGGTTTCTGAGCAGCAGTGGCTGCTATTGCAGACCATGAATCCAGAGGATGCTCAAACTACTGGAGTGCCTCCAGAAAGCAAAGGAAGGGCCACATTTCTAAGGGACTGATTCTGTTGGCTTTACTACAATGCGAAGAGTACCCCTCTGTAGGCAAAAGGCAAGCTGTGGGGAACAACTGAGCCACCCAAATCTATTGGCTCATCTATCTGTGTGGAGCCTAGTTCCCACACTTCTCAGAATCAAGATCTGTCCCTACTTTACTGGGTTAAAAACTCACAGCTAGAAAAGGAAAAAGGGAAACGTTACGTGGTTCCATCACTGCAGAAGCCTTACAGAGCTCCCATGTTTGCAGAAAAAAGGAGCGGGACTGGGTCTAAGAGCAGCTCTCAAACCTTCTGTTACATCACATGCAAATAGCTCATTCTTCTCATTTCTTGTCACACTTTAGTGAAAAAAAAGGGAATTTATCTGAGAAAGATTTTGGTCTGACTCTATTCAGTATTCAGTGACAAAGCCTGTCTTAAATATTTGAATTCCCTGAGCTTACCTGAAGAAAGGTAATGTATTTGAAAGCTTCTAGGAGGGAGACCACCTCCATCAAATTATAAGCACCACTTCCTAAAACCTTAGAAGGTCCCCTCTCTCCATTGCTGTATGACACCAATGTGAGTGTTTAAATTGGGGCCTGCTTTGACAGCTGCCTTCTAAAGACTGAAGTCTCCCAACAGAGGTGTAACCTCTGAGGTTTTCTCTAGTCCAGGCATAAAATGTCAGAAGCTACACAGGATGTCACCCCAGAAAATTAGGAAATGTTTTTGGTATACTCTGTTGAAACTAAACGATCCTTCACCATGTCCTATCAGTGTTCGTTGAGGCTGTTTGTGCCAGTCCACAAAAAACCTAATAGAAACTTAGCCCAAGCTTAGCTAGTGTCACTCAAAACACAAATACAGCCAGATTTCTCCCAGCCTGGCACAGATTTCCTAAACTTTATTCAAAGCTCAGTTAACCTGCTATTGGAACTAGGTTTCAGAACATTTTCTTGGATTGTGTAACTCCTTCTGATCTCAGAGATGGCTCAGTAGAGGAATGCAGCCCCAGAGGGTTTCCACTTACCCATTGCTCCATGCCAGTAGCAGTGACTCACCTCCTTCACCTGTCCCTCTTGCACACAGGATGCAGTACTTCCTTGATGCCCAAGCCTGGGTAGAGAGAATTCCAGAGGAGAACGAGTGCCACACCACCCTGCACCGGAGAGCCTGTGCTCATCTGCAGGACTTCATGAACCCCTCTGATGGCCTGTGCCTCTTCTGAACCATCACTCTGCTCCCCGCATCCCATCCGTGTGACTGAGACTCAGCTCCTCCCTGAATTTTGCTTGCAAAGCCTGTACATCAGAGCAGTACCTGAAACATTGCAAAACTGCTTCAATCATTATCTCTGTTCTGCTGATTGGGGTATCTTCTCATAGATGTATGTGCACAGGGGTAATAAAATTAAAACTGCCATTATTTTACTTGTTATTCTGTTTATTTGTCCCTGCCACTGGTGAAGAAAGAGCAGGAATTTCTCTCTCCCTGATGCATTATACAACAGTGCAATTTTCCTGCAGGTGATCAGATGAAAAATCATTGTCTTCGCAGAGCTGATTAGTTCCTGCAGTCACTGTCACTGCATATTAAAGAGGTCAAGAAATTTGCCTTTTCTGTAAGGCAAGACTGGGCATTCATGGGCTTACCAAATATGGCCTGTGCTACTGAGAGAGAAGAGATAGAAGAGATAGAACATTCATGCTTCAGCACATCAGTTAATTTCTGATTTTAGTTATGAGTCTTTGTATAGGGGAACAACTAACACCACTTGTACCAGAGCAGGATTCGCAATTGCACTTCTGAAGCTGGAACTGGCCCAGCATCAGGAAGGGCAACTGGACTGGATGTGTCCTATGCCTGAGCCAGGAGTCCTGCACAAGCTAGTTAGTGCTGGCTGCTCACTGAGGGCACAGAATTGCTTTTTAATTGTGCTCTGTAGTCACATGCTTTTCAAGATGTTCTTTTTTAGACTTAAATTACTTTGCATTACTTTAAAAAGAAATTGACACAATCTGTGGTTGCATTTTTTTAAAGCATTTCCGCTTTCGTGGCTACGTGAACAGCTTTGTAGTAGAGATGCAGTATTTGTCAGGGAAAGGTGGGGTTTTTGCTGTCACAGTTATAAAGGCTTCCACAAATGGCAAACTAAGTTAATAATTAAAAATAACCCCAAAACTCGAAAAATCGCTTTTCGTAGGATAAGAAAAAGTCTGTAGAAAATGTTTTGATAACACTGATAAATAGATGACTTGCACATATAAGTTTTACTTCCTTAGTTTGCCAGCAAAATGCCATTTGGCAGTGATGTCTGAAGCAGAGATGAGCTGCAATGAAAAGCTGTGTAAAAATTTGCAACCTGGACTGCTTGTCTTACATGGCAACAAAAATAAGAAGAACCTGTATCAACAATATGATAATTAGTAGGTCTGTGCTGATTTTATTAATTTGGAGTCAAATAACCTTACTGAATAGGCGGGGCAGCAGTGAGCCTTGTGTGGAGGAGACACTACACGGCAGCAGGACCTACCAGAACAGCTGCTCCACAAAAGCCTCCAGATTCATAGCAGACAGCCCAGCACCAGGTGCCAGCACTGTGAACTGCTCAGCTATTTCTGAAAGCTGTAAACTCAGGTATCTGCAACGATGTGCCCCACTCAGCTGTCAGCCATTGCATGGTTTGAGGGTGGGGAAGGCTTATTTTGTGAAAACGTGCACGACCGCTTCATGTCATCTGGAAAGGAAGATAAGAAACCCTCTGAAGGTGAAAGACAGACAAATTAACATAGGACCTTGTTTTCGTCAAGGTTTTCCTCAGTGTATTGGGTCTGTGTGGCAAGGTTTTGGTAGCGGGGGCCTATAGGGGTGGCTTCTGTGAGAAGCTGCTAGAAGCTTCCCCTATGCCAAATAGAGCCAATGCCAGCTGGCTCTAAGACGGGCCCACTGCTGGCCAAGGCCAAGCCAACCAGTGACATTGGTAGCACCTCTGTGATAATGTATTTAAGAAGGGGGAAAAAACTGCTGTGCAACAGCAGCCAAGGGGGGGGTGGAACTGAGAAGATGTGAGAAAAGCAACTCTGCAGACACCAAGGTCAGTGAAGAAGGAGGAGGAGGTGTTGGAGCAGAGATTCCCCTGCAGCCCATGGTGAAGACCATGGTGAGGCAGGCTGTCCCCGTGCAACCCATGGAGGTCTATGGTGGAGTGAAGGTAAGCCTGGGAAGAAGGTAGGGGTGGGTAGAAGGTGTTTTAAGATTTGGGTTTATTTCTCATTATCCTACTCTGAGTTTTGATTGGTAATAAATGAACTTAATTTTCCCAAGTCAAGTCTGTTTTGCCTGTGATGGTAATTAATGAGTATTCTCTCCCCATCCTTATCTCGATCCACGAGCTTTTAATCATATTTTTTCTTCCCCCTGTCCAGGTGAGGAAGTGGACATAATAGAATGGCTCAGCGGGCACCTGGCATCCAACCACAGTCAACCCACTACACTCAGCTTTCAGATTTAGGAAATGTGATGGTAATGCATGGGCATACATTCTTTTCCTTTTATTACAGAGCTTATAGAAATGTCAGCAACATGGCAAAATCCAGCTGACATCAGTAAAGAAAGTGCTAATTTTTACTCCTGTAAGATAAAGAATAGGCTGTTCTATTGACATCCCAATTAACCAGTAATTCTGTTTATAGTTAAAAAGAATAACCCTAAGGTTATGGGCCAAATCCTTATGGGCCTTTCCATCTCACAGAACTTGAGTTAAACAGCAGCAGCTGAACTTTTCACTGTGTTTAGTACCTCAAGAGCTCAGAGGTTCTTGCTTAGCTGACAAATCACCAAATAATTGCTGCACTCAAGACTATGTGAAATGTGGTGAAAGCATCATTAAAATTTCATATTAGGCCTAATGTGTATTTTATATCTTTTATTGCATTTTACGTATTTTCTTTCATTTTTCCTTGGAGATGAGTCTAAGCTGAAATAGCTTAATGCCTGAAATTTGCAAATGCAGTCTTCTAATGTGGGAGTTATGTGTGATTATTAAACTATTTTTACTCTTATTTTTGGTAGAGAGGACAAAAGCATGATTCTACTTTAATTCTGGTAATCTGGAATGCCTTGCTTCCTGGGAAACTCTTTAAATCTCTCAGCTCGAGGAGCTAGTGTGGAACAGTCTCTATCCTCCTCTATTTTTCTGCCCAAAACTTTCAAGAATATTTATGGGGAGAGGGAAGACAATGGTGGAATTATCCTCAGCTGCCAAAGTTGTTAATGTTTGCAGGTAGCGTAGCTGAAGACCTGCTGGAGACTCAGCTAGCACCATGGAGGCCTGCTTGAGGGCTTTAGAAGCATTCGTTTCTCCCTCTGCCACAATCTGCAAAGTAAGAGAAAAAGAAACCACATTGTGATACTGCCCATAGTCGGGAAAACCCACCTTTACAATGGAGAGAAAACAAACAGGCACTTGGATGCCTGGGACAAGGATACAGGAGCTTGGAGGCAGACATTGCCATGGGCCTCACCTTAGCTCTTGCTTCTCGAGCAGCCTCTGCTTCAGCTGCCATTGCCCTCTGCATGTCCACAGGAATCCTGACATCCTTGATCTCCACTCGGCCCACTCTGATTCCCCACTGCTCCATGGCACTGTTGAGGATAGCCTTAGGGACAAAGACACAACCCACCATGAAAAGCACAGTGATGGCAGAAAGAAAATAACATTTTGTACCCTGACACATTATACAGATGGAAAAGGCAGCATGTAAACTGCATAACAGAAAGAGCCCTCCAGGAGCACCAACATCCAATGTGGTGTGCACATGGTGGGTACTCCAGCCTTATGAAATTTGATGATCAATACCAGTGTCTGAGACAGGGTGTCTCCTGTGCAGCTTCTCTATTGCCTCCTAAACTATGATCCCCATCCTTTCTTTAGCTGGGCACTTACTAAACTACTCCCTTTGTACAGAGTAATACTACAGCAACTTCCTAAAATGGCACAATGCTGTAAAAACATGTAAAAGCACACTATGGGTGAATGACACCGCTGTGTGCTCAATCTCCCGGTTGCTGCTACGATTCGTGTCACCACTGTGAACACAGGCTGCTGTACTGGCTGGAGAGGGCTACAATCTCTCGTTTTTCTGATTATGCCTCATTTCCAACTGAAAAGAGTAAATCAAATCCTGGCTTTCTTCTCTGCTCCCTCCTTGGCTGCCAAATCAGAAAAAAACAGATGGCATTTTAAAGCATAAACCAACTCGGTTCTCTACTCTTACTTGTTATGACAGGAGAGACAAGCCCTGCCTGATTAAACCTCACTCAAGGGTGTGCCCACAATAGAGCTTCCCACGAGCAGCAGACTTCTTTGTCACCATTTGCAGAAGCCTCTGTGCAAAGATTAAACTGATTTATTCAATTCACTGGATAATTTCAGAATCTTCATTGCTTTTTGATAGGCAATACCTCTTCTACAAGAACATGGTGGAATATGCTTAGAATAGTTCTGTCTGACTCTAAACAATGAAATGTATAACTGGGGAAAAAAACCCTAAACAAACCATAAAGGAAAATGTTACTATCATTGTTGAAGAAAGAAATAGAGAAAAATTCTAATTTGCTGCTCCCCAGAATAAATCCCTATGCTTGCCAGTGAATCCAAGAGCCAGGTTTACCTGGATGCTGTGTGCAATCTTCTCGCGACCTGCCAGGAGTTGAGCCAAGCTCTGTGTCCCCAGGACATTTCTCAGGGTGGTCTGTGCCAAGAGGAAGGTTGCCGAATGGACATCCATGATGTTAGCAATGGTGCCAAGAGCACTGTGGATCCTGTAGTATACCACCCCATCAACTTGGGTAGTAACGGCATCTTTTGTGAGAATCTTCATTGGAGAAACACACAGAAATAGGGAAGGATTCAACAACGCACTCCTTGCCGAGGAAGGGAAATATGTTTTCTTTACTTAGTGAGGAAAAGGCCCTGCTTATTCAAGGAAACTAAGACTTTCTTTTGGTTTCTTTGTCATTCTCCTGAGAAATTACTTCAAGGAAGTTATCCCACAACATCAACAGATTAGAAACCAGGGCAAAATGTTGTACACAGCCTTTAAACAACTGTTCCAATAGTAAGTGAATCTCATAACCCATGTGGTTTTCTTTTGCAATTATAAATAATGCTTATCCTTTTCCTTTCTTGCAGAAAAGTCCATGACTGATTTTATACATTGTGATTTTACACAATTATACATTATACATTATACATTATACATTATGCGTGTAGTTTGGACGATCTCTGCTACTTCTCTAAACAACGTATTTGTAAGAAACAGCCATAATTTAAAACAAAAATGAAAAGCAAAGTGCAAGAAATTGTTAGAAAAAACTCTGAAAAAATATTTAAGTATTCACAGATTTGTGTCATCTTTTCCCAGACACATCCTCTGTGCCTCAGGGGGCAGCTGGCCTCAGTGGACCACTGATGATGCTCTTCCCTCCTCAGCATCTTTTACCTACAAGTAAGTGCTTCACAGAAGCCTTGTCAAAACCTGTGAGCCTTGCTGGCGCAAGTACTGCAATCATCTTCCTTCCAGCCTTCTGTTTTGGGGTCCCATTTTTCATTCCACCACATGAACCTCTGCAACTGCACTCTCCAAAAAGACTCTTTGTGATTATGGAAAGTAAATGGTCCAAGAAACAGCTCCTGGGGAACATATTGGACAATGCCAGGGGCCAAAGGAGTCGTGTCCCCTTCTCTTCACATAAAGAAGAAGACAGCAATGCCAACTCCACCTGCAGAAGCATTGTACTGCAGTGGAGTTGGGGCCACATGGAGCGAAAACTTTTCCAGAATGACAGGAAGTGCTCAGCAACTGATTCTTCAGCCTGAATTTTTGTCAATGTTTGTCAATAAAATGCCTAAAGATGTGCCCCTCCATTCCTGCCTAGAACTGAGTTTTGTGGATGATTGTCTTTACTTACTTTTAATTTAAAGAGATTTGTTATCCGTATGTAATTTTCTTTTTAAGAAATGTGTAGGCTGTGCATACCTTTGAGTAGCAACCACATCATCAGTGAAGGCTTTTTTGAATGGTGAGCTGCATGTCAGATCTAATTTTATTAGGACACTATTCTGGATATCTTACACTAGTCTATTGCTTCATTTCTATGTATGGAACAATAATACAACTAGGAATTTTTAGCCTCTCCTCTCTTGTCCTCTCTGACTCCCATTTGCAGTTTTGTCCCTCTCCCTTATCTTTTATCTCAGTTCTGAATGTCAGCAAGAGGAGTTTGCTTGGCCTACAATGACAGGTTTTCGTAAGTAGAAGAAGTTTTGTAAGCATTTGGGTGGTCAGAAGATACAGCAAGTAAGCTGAATTCTGTATGGTAGCTCACAACTGCACACCTGCATTATTTTTGATCATGCCATGATTCAGCTTTATGTTACATTTCTGGTTTAGAGAACAGTTACCTCTTGTGGAGGAATCTTACAGGTAACAGTTCTAAGATCAACCTTGATAAATGTATCTGTACAGGGAAGTATGAGGATCAAACCTGAAAAATAAAAATAATTAGATTAAATACTTATTTTGTGAAAGCTACATCTAGAGCCAGATATCCTGTACAAATCAAATGGATGGAAATGTCCACAGGGTGGGGATTGAGCCCAACTTATTACTCCAGATGTCCTTTCTGCTACAGGAGGTGACAACCGTGAGGTTTTGCATTTACAAATAACAGAGGGGAAATGCAGATGTCTGGAAATAATGTGAATTTATTAGAACTTAATGGCCTAGGGCTCTAGTCTGGGAATAGGCAGATTGCAGATCTGGCGTCAAATTTGTGATGAGACTTTTGGCAAAAGCTCCTTCCATGCATCAGTTTAGTTCCCCCTCTTTCGATCCTAAGCCATTTATGGTACAGTATGTGTCCCCCCAGGAAAGACATCTCCCAGGTCCAGATTTCTGCGCCATCTGTAGGCTCCCACATCAGGAACGTTGTTCTAAGATCCGATCAGTCCTGTGAAGGAGTCCCCACTCTCCCTTCACTAGAAAGTGGGAGCTGACATAAATATTTTTCTAATCTCAGCACCTTGCTTGGGTGTCCAGAGCCACGCAGGAAAGCTCTGCACCTGCCCTAGCTGCTCTGTGGACCACATAGCTATCTTTCAGGAGGAAAGACAGTATCTGGAAAGTACTTTTTCCTCTTATTTCAGCTTTCAGTTTGCCCAGTTTCATTGCACAGAGGCTGTAACCACAACAATGCAATCAACTCATGTTGTTGGGTTTGGTTTGTCTTGGTGATTTGTCACCTGATCCTAGGTGACCGTAACAAACTCTGCATAGGTGCAGTGTCCCTGCCCTGACACAGTAACAATTTTCAGAGCAGAAGACAGCTACAGAGCTGGCAGCAGTGAGCAGCGTTGGAAGTGAGGCATAGGAAGAGTGGCCACAGTCACCCAAAAAAGTCTGCAGCAGAGCTGAAGACTGCATTTAAACCTCCCCAGTCGCCTGCCCTGGTCCCACCTACTCAACAGCAAAGACCTATCTGATAACAAGGTCCCCGACCTTCTCTGTTGTGCTGTGATCTGGGTGGCCCTCTTCAGAAAAACAAACCACCTGCAGGTAAAGGAACTGCAGCAGAGAGGACCTTCTCATCCCCCCATATGCTACGATGAAGGATTTCAGGGACCTCTGCAATTCTCTGTGTGGTTACAGTGCATCATAATACAATAAAAACTGAATATAACTGCATACATTCACCTGGTCCCTTTGCTTTCTTAGACAGTATACGTCCCAGACGAAATAAAACAGCACGTTCATATTCTCTGATAACCTAGGAAAACATTTAAAATTTAGAATTTGACAGCTAACTGTATTCCTACTCTCTGGACTGATTTTTTTAATCTTTGCCATCTGTATTAAATGTGAAAAAACCACAGATAATATAGGAAACAACAAAGCTGCAAATCACTTGGCATTTTATGCCTTCTCCTCACCTGACTCTCTGTTGGAAAAAACTCAGACTCTGGCCCTGCAAATATTTTACAAAGCAGATGAAATATAAAAGAGTTGCCACTAATCTGATGAGGCTGCCCACAACTCTCTCAACATCAGTGCTACACTCAGAGGAACAGTGGACAAAGTATTTCTCACCTCAGATAATCCACCTAACTACTTTTGTTAGTGTATTATGACTACTCAAAGCCTGGCACTCAGGGCAATCACTCTGGTAACTCAACCCTAAAATATGCTTTAAATTAATCATATTATATTCATGCCTTGAAAGGACTGTAGGTTTAGGTTGTATAGTTGCTCAATGCAGGGACCCATATTCCCATGTACCCATATTAATCACTATTGCTGGCAGCATCAAATATGAGTTCTTCAGAAAAGTTTGTACATTTTTTCTCCCAGAGCTGTAAAGCAGGGAAGTTTAACTGATGATGGAAGTTGAGACTGGAAGAAATTAAATAATGTTGTAATGAAACAGAAAGTCAGTGGAAGAATATGGACCTCTTGGTTCTGGACAATATCCTCACTACAGGCCTATATGATTTCCAAAGAAGTGCATGTGAAGTGCATTTTTTTAACAGAATCAATAAATCAATAAACAGAAGTAACAGTGATGATAATAGTGCTCTTTATGTGTCCCAAATCCCACTAGTTTACCTTGATACATGTCCAGACGGAAATAGGAAAGGTAATAAGCACCAGAAGAAAGGAAATGGAAAACAGGAATCAGCCACAGACACCAATTCCTTCCCACCTGTCAGCTATTAAAATAATAAGGAAGAAGAGCAATTAATGCAAATTCTGAAAATATTTATCCAAGGGTTGTAGATCTAGTCCACAGAAACTCGTTCCCTCTTCCTCTCATCGCTCACTGAAAGCCAGAAAAGGCCTAACCAGATATCCACCCTTACGTCCCTTCTGCCCAAAAGGTTCAGAAAGTACATTTGGCAACAGGAAAGAGGAAAAATTAAAGACATTGCCAAAGCTGGGGTTTTCATTGATATGAACCGCTGCCAGTGAGTCACAGCTGGAGAAGAATATTTCATTTGAATTAAACAGGTAATAAGGAAAATGAGGGGAACCTCTGTTGTCTTTAGATGGAAACCTTGAGGAATACTGTGGAGCTAGACCACAAGCTTCAAAATCAGTGCTTGTCAAAATGCAGGCCCATGCATTTTTGGCAGTTCTCTCACTGGATTCAGCTCTTCTCATCCCAAAATTTAATTATAATGAAATTTCATTACTTCACTATAATTAAATAAAAATATTTCAAAATAAATTCATTATTTAACTGCCTGAAGGGAAGGCAGTGGTGCGTTGTTGTTCAAGATCTAAAAGTTTGGGACGCTCTTTGTAAGGGAAAGGTGATTGAGGAGCTGTCGCTCATTGAAGAGCCGGTGGACCTGCTGAGGTCCTCAAAGAAGGGGCACGGAAGAGGGCGAGGAGTGAAACAGGACAGTCCTGTTACCAGGACAGAGTGCTGCAAGGTCAACTGAATTTTGCTAAAAGCAGAAATGCCTTGGATCAGGCGAGCCATGAGAAAAGCAGAAGCAGCAAGGATGCAGGCTGGGCTAGGCCAAGGGCTGTCCAGATTTTTGGGGATTTTTGCAGGCATAAGCATCAGCCTGATTCCCAACACAAAGGGAAGAGGCAGGAGAGAGGGATGAAGGCTCAGAAGTCTCCTCAGAGAACCTCTCCCATGCTGATGGAAAGATGCAGCATGTTTTGGATATATTACTTCAAAGGTATAGGGTAGCACAGGGAATTTCTGACATCAAATAAAATCAGTATGCAGATAAAAACTGATAAATAGAAAACAATTATTTTATACTTCATGAGAAAAAACTTGTCAACAAAATGAAACAGCATGGGGCTACCTGATCTGTACAGTAGTCTAACTGAGCAACAGGGCAGGACTAACAGGTTTGTCAGAAAAGCCCCAGCAACCCCAGAGGAGGAGACACAACCCAGCCCTCCTGCAGCTCTCCTCTTGCCGGTACCTCTGTGAGTAGCTGGACTTGGGCCTATTGGTGATGTTAACTGCAAACCTGAGTGTTACAATCAAGTTCATTGCTGCTTGCAGTTGTGCACTTCCTACTTCTGAGGCCCTCACTGCAGGATTAATCACACACACATAAGTATGTTTGCGTCCAAGAGAGCCAGTCATGATGTGGATATCAAACTTGAAATGCAAATGAAAAGCTCATGTCCAAGTTGTCTTGTGAAGAACATGAGGAACTGTGGACAAAAGTCTCGGACAGCAATAAAAAGATGGAGTAGATTCAGCCTCTTGTAACTACTATGAACCCTCCTGCTTCCAACAAGCACCCAAATCAATCCTGTCAAGACTCATTCTTGTCCCACCACACTACTCATGCTTATGGTCAGACACAATGTTGAAAACAGCACACATTGCCAGTAACAACTTGCTTTGACATCAGCTCTCTTGCTTGAAGAGAGCACCAGGTGTTCATCACACAAGTCCAAACATTAACTCACTCATATTTTTGGTTAGTTTTGCTCCTTAATATTATTGAGAAATGCACATACACACACACACACACAATTAGAGGCTTACCAATTAGATGCCCTATGTTATTTTTCTTGGGTGTCTCCCTCTGGGGATCCATCCTATTCAATGTAAGCTCTGATCTGCTCACAGATGAGGCAGCAGCATACCTTGAAAATGCACAATGCTCTTACAAAGCACTGAAGTCAGAAGCAGGATAAGAGGAGAAATCCCCACTTGCACAAGAGACTTCTGGGAGTTTGTTACTCTGGTGAGGAGGGGATGTTTACAAAAACAAAGTCTTGTGGATCAAGGTTGTCTCTGATGTAACTCCGTGGACTTCTGTGGTCATCTTCTGGCTGGGAACGTATTTAGACTGGCTTGTTTTACACCCCACAAAATCCAAGCTAGAAATAATTTCTATGAATTGGTAATAACACTCCCTAGAGAGAAAAAGCAAGACAGAAAGAGGAGAGCACAAATCAGAGCAGCTGAGGGAACTGAAGTTGTCTCCTCTCAGCCTCCTTTCCTCCAGACTGAACCTTATTGCTCTTTACAACTACCTGAAAGGAGGTTGTAGTGAGGTGGGTGTTGTAGTGAGGCCTCCCAAGTACCAAGCAATAGGACAATAGGAAATGTCTTCAAGTTGTGCCAGGGCAGGTTTAGATTGGATACTGTGCACCACAGTGGATTGAACCCTGTTGTGCTAGATAACCTAAAAAGCATAGTAGAAACACTTCTGCTTCATAGTCTTATGACTTCTCCTCTAAATATTTTTCACAAAACACTTTTTAATATTGACCATCAAACCAATCATAGCATTTCATACTAAGCCATTTCTGAAGGCTGCAGCAGCAAAGAGAAGCCTTCTCAAAGGACACAGATCTATTGCTTGTTATTTGAGAAAAAGTGAGAGGTGGCTTTCCATGTATAATGTATGAGTTTGACATATAGCTGCATTAATTATATGACTGTTTGCTGTGGGCATTCACCATCTAGAATATCTTAAAAAGATCTGGCTCCAGCTTCACTTCTCTTAAGTCTTCATTCCTGCCAGTAATCACATTGGCCCCAGATGGGTCATTCAAAGCTGACTGCTCCCCAGAGAATCCTTGCCCAGCCTCACAGAGAGGAAACTGCACCACTGAATGCATGTTTTAAATTACAGTGAAATCCATATGCACAAACAGCTTGCAAAACTGGGATTTACATTCTTATTGCAGTACCCTGCCAAATATACAACAATATCCATTTGAAGTAACTTGCAGTATTTTCCTAATTATTTGGCTTCTCACACAGAGCTGTTCAGGGCAGATGCCTAGTAGGGCAGCAAGGGTAAACAGCTAGAAGAATGTGCTTTATTTCAGAAGCAAAAACATTCAAAACTACCCTAACGTATAATTTCAGAGGAACAGTTTTATTGAAAATAACTTCATTCCAAGCCATTTGAATGCCACATTCTACACAGCTGCTTACACCATCATACAGATAAGCAAAACATTAAAATCTAAACAAAAATAATTGCTTTCTGCTGTTCGTTGAGAATTCCCTGAGGTGCTTGTAAATATACCCCTTGAAAGGTGACTCAAGCAGATGGTGTATTTCCTTTTACGTTCAGGAACAATATTAGTTTGTGTTAACTTCAGCTGTAATTTTATTCCCCGTTTCAAAAATTTGAAGTCAAAGGCAGGGCAAACTTAATCATTTCTCCTTGGGGCTATACTGGGGCATGTGAATAACTCCTGTCCCAGAGTGCTCTAAAACACTCAAGAGAAGAAAACACATGAGAGCTCTGGGGCAAAGCAGTTTAGAAGCTGCAAGTTCACTGCTGCTGGACAGCCTGGAGTAGACCTGCTTTATAGAGTGGTACCACAATGAGTCCAAAGCCACTTTAGCTGGACTTACTGACTTATAAGCAACAGTAGATCAATGTGGTTTGGGTCAAAGGCAGTGCAGCTATTTCCTGCAGCATGCCAATATATAGCTAAAGCCTTCAGCACAAAATTCCAGGTCAGGCATGATAACTGGGTGCCTACCTGTCAGCAGGCCACTCTCCAACAGTTCTCTGCACCACTACATTTGCAAATGGCACCAGCCCTTCATAAGTTCCCTAAAACGTTCAGTTGCTCCCACTTAGCTCCTCATCCAGTTGCAGAGACTTAATCCTATGGACCAAGCACCGACCTCGAAGTTTGTTGAGATCAGAATGGTAATTCTTACACAGAGCCATTTCTAAACAGTGCCAATCTCAAAGGTATCAAAAAAAATCCTCAGGCAGACCTTAAGTGAGATTTGCATATAACAAAGGTGTTAAGTTTCAGTGTCTTTTTCTCACCTTTTTAGGCCCATACTACTTTTCTTCCCATGCACTGAGCTTTGGCCACTCCCTAAAGATTCTCAGCCTAGTCCTTTCCTGGCCCCCAGAACAGACTATTCGCCTGTTTGCTCCAGGCTCATCACTGCCTTCTCCCAGATCAAAATTTAGGAGGGGGAACAGGACACAGAGATTAACTGTACCATCCTACCGCTTGTAGGAACATCCTTATATTGTGCCTCCTCCTTGTGCATATGGCATCAACTTTCTATAGCTGAAGATGGGGAGTGGGGAGATGACAGAAGGCACCCCTTTAGCTATGCTTCACTAGAGCATGAGTAAGCATGAGACACAAATAATCAAAGGGGTTGCTCAATCCAGAAAGGAAGGCAATTTGCAAGACAGTAAGAACATTCATACCCTGGTAATATTCCTTCCAAGCCCAGCCAAACTCACAACACTCACTTGCAAATCAGAGGAAGAGGAGGACAGAAAATTGCTGTTTCTCTCACATTCTCTACAGCTGCAATTAAAAACACTTCAAAGAAATACTGAAACTTGTATTTGCAAAAACAATCCCAATATGTCCTTAGTTGTTCTAAATAAAAATTTTATTTCAAAGAACATTTTGCTACACCTTATCTTTGCAGGCTGTCAACACAGCTGGAATACAGTAGTAACAGGCAACTTGAAGAATGAAAAAAATCATAGTTAGTCCAGAATTAAATCATACAGCAACAGCCCTTTCACAGTACAGGCTCAGTGTAAGATCCAGCATGGTTTGCCTCAGGAGCAGACTCTTCCTTGGCTTTTTAAAAATGATGCTTAAGCATGCATGAAAGAGCTCAGGACAAATCTTCCCCCTTCAGAAATTCCAAGGCTGGGTCACAGGAGTTCACTGCAATGCAGAACAGAGACTATTCCTGAAGAGAAAAAGATTAATAAAAAATGATTTTACATCAGGAGAAATATTTAAGAAATTGAAACTTACCTTAATCCTAGCCACTGGAAAGTTCAACTTACAAAATACTGCTCAATATGATTCAGTAAGAACCAGAGAGCCCATTCTAGACAAAAAAAACTTGACAGTTTAATGCTTCTTAACCTATTTGCTCACTTGTCTAACACTGATGATGAGCTTCTATGTAAAACTACACCAGCTGTGAATGAAATACTCTCTTCTGGGTAAAGGACAGTACACAAACATCACTTAGGAAATACACTGTTTCTGGAGAACAGCATTTAATATAGTGGATATTCACTGCTTCTCACCTCTGTTCATTTGGAGAAACAGGGCTTCACAGTGTTTTAAGTAACTTCAAGTTGTCTAATGTTTGGACAGAAAAAAAACCAACCCACACTCCATGACCATTCAACAGGTGTTTTCATACAAACTGCCTACTTTTTGATAAAACACTGAGTAACGACTGGTGTCTGCTACTTCTTTTTGATGACAAGGCAATGTGAATTAGTTTAAACTTTGCAATATGTTTTTATCTTTGAAGTCATATGTAAATTTGATATTAAAATGCAAGACTACTCAGTGGCTGGCAAAGCATCAAGGACACTTTAATTTTTTATCTAAACATTTCATAGGATATTTCTATTGCCACTCTTTAGGAAACTGGTTTTATAATTCAGTATATAATTCTGCATCAAAGAAACAGCGTGAGATCAAACATTAGGAAGTGTCTTAGCAAAAACAAGTTTATTCACCTGTGTTTTAGGCAAATACGTAAATAGTCAAAGCTTTTTTGCCATGACAGTAAATGTTTTATTTTAAAAAATTGTGTTAAAAACCAATACAGGAATTTCTGTTAATGTTCTAAAAAAGTTTGTTCACATCTTGAAAGAAAATACATTAGCAACATCTCCCAGCAGAATTCATCTTTAAAAAAGTAAAACTCTAGGTGCAGAGCCTTTCTACAGTATAGTATCCTCTACGTTTTAATTTAATCACAGGATTGAATATCATTCATCTCTACTGTCTCTAGAACATGATCAAGAGCGTATCTTAAATAGATGATATTCAATGATGTGTTACACATTGCCACAGGTACTAACATTATTAGAAGAGTGCACAACTGAATTTCACTAACAGAGCAAGACCTTTCTGTATGCTGCATCATAACCCTTCCTAACCAATACAGTTAATTTAGCTATATGCCTTTAAAATCATGTACGTTTTCCAAGGAAAAATACTAAAAACACGTGGTCCAAATTCTGCTCCCCCTTATATTCACAGGATAACATAAGCACCATCAAGTTGTGTTTTATAGCCAAAAAGCATAGAGAATCAGTGAGTTTATGAGTATAAGGGAGAGAAGAACTTGACCCATGTCTGTAAACATTCACAAAAGTCTGCAGTCAAAAGTGCCGGATAGGCAGCCTATCCGCAGTACAATTATTTCATTCACAGAGGTGTGGGGGCAGGGAGAATGCTATGGAACATTATTTTAGAGGCAATTTAAAATGCTTCTATGCACTTTGGAAATACATATTCTCAGCTAGCTAAACCATACTCCAGAAAACATAATACACTTCTATCCAAACACAGTACAGCATCATTTCCTAGCTCTCCTGTTCAGGTTCAGACAGAGTACTCAATTCAGCAACAAGCCAGTGACAATATTTCAAAGCGTAAGAGCACCCCCACACCCCTCTGATCTAGCCTCCCCTTAACAAAACTGCTGATGCTAACAGGAGCTCCTCACACATACAAATAAAAGATTCAAAGAACCACAAACTGACCTTGATTTATGCACACACAAGTGTGCATCTAGACGAAAGATCGTCTACAGCTTTAA